GTATTGCGTGGGAACACAAAGGTATTGCGTGGGAACACAAAGGTATTGCGTGGGAACGCAAAGGTATTGCGTGGGAACGCAAAGGTATTGCGTGGTCACGCAAAGGTATTGCGTGGTAACGCAACGGTATTGCGAGGTAACGCAACGGTATTGCGAGGTAACGCAACGGTATTGCGAGGGAACGCAACGGTATTGCGAGGGAACGCAAAGGTATTGCGAGGGAACGCAAAGGTATTGCGTGGGAACGCAAAAGTATTGCTAGGGAACGCAAAAGTATTGCGTGGGAATGCAAAGGTATTGCGAGGTAACACAAAAGTATTGCAAGGGAACGCAAAGGTATTGCGTGGGAACGCAAAAGAAAAAAATCCCCTCATGTCCCATTGCGGGCTCCGTAGATCAGGAATCTTTGTCTTTCTGAGTGGGATTTTTTTTTTTGATGTGACATTTGGAAATTCAAGCAACTAGATGATCCCTAAACCTTTGTTTCACAGCTGYTGTTGTGTTTTTGTCTTTCTCCACATCTCAACACACCTGCTGTTATTGTCCRTTAATTCACCAAACTTAAAAAGCTTCTTTTCCCAGACTTTTATTTTTGCTTTTACATCTGGCCCTCGCTGTGCTCCGTATAAAATTCGCTGATTTAATTTTTTATTCTTTACTCCCAACAGGAAAAAGAAACAAAGAGTGAAGGAGGCGTCCATTTACATGGGTAAGGGGAACATCTTCCGCCCGAACGACCGGCACTTCACCAAATCCCAGTCGGACAACGACTCCCACGTCTACGACTACATAGACGACACCCTCGTCTACAACCACCTGCTGGGTGACTCCACCTACTCCGACGGCAAACGAGACTTCCCGTCAGGCGTACAGGTGGACTCCTACAAAACGTTTTTAGGCCACACTGACGGYGCGCTGCCCGTCATTAAAGAGCCGGATCCGGAACCCGAGCTGGACCGRTGTAGGACGTTCCTGGACCCCTCAGAGACGTTCATCCCGTCCCGCCCGCGCACTCCCATCGGCCGGCAGGACAGCCTGGGCTTCCAGGACCGCAGGATGATGGACAACGAGCTCTACACGTTCAAAAGCACCGGTGACTTCAACACCATCCGACTCTCCGGCGTCAATATGGCGCCGGAGCCGCAGGAATCCGAGGAATCCATGTAGTYCGGACTTTATCTGTGAGATGGACTGCTTTTTACCAAACCCTCCTCTCTGCAGGGCGTGTCTGTGGACTGTGGTCCTCCTCAGGGACTTCCCTTTTAAACTTGACTGTTTGGACTCGTTTCCAGACCAAGATGAGCTGCGAGTCTCATCTGTACGGTTTTGCGAAATGTCAAARAGGAGCTTTGCTGAGATTATTTCCTGCTTCAAACGAAAGCAGCAGCGTAAAAAACTGAAGACAAGAATCTGTTCCTAAGAGCTGTGGGGTTTTGATCTTTACAGCGTTTGAGTCGTTTTTGCTCATTTTCAAGTCGCACGTTTGAAATTAATCTCAAATTTGGCTTAAAAAAGTGCACAGGAAGAAAAACYTTTGCAAATCACGGTGAGCCGTTTGGATTTYCTGTGAGGAAAAAAAATTCTCAACRTTTTTAGCTGAGAAACCTTTATGTAAATCTTTCCCTCACTTTTTGTACATACAGGTTTTTAGGAATGTTTCTTATTTACATTTAATTTCTTTGTTGAAAAGGGCGAAAAACCAAGTCGGAGTTTCTTTGTTATAAGCAAAATGCACAGAGAAGACTTTAATAAAAATACGTCTTAAGCTTTTCTAAACTAAACAAAACATTTTTTATATTTATAACTTTTAAACTGAGTTGTATGGAAAGATTAGCAGTTAATATCTTACCTGTTGTGGATAGCAGCAAGCAGGGAAAGTTTGTAAACTTTCAACAGAACCTCTGATATCCCTTCTTGTTTCAGTTTTTTCTTCTGTAAATTATGAAACAAACATGATTGTTGCCTGAACTCCCAGCAAAACAAGCAAAAAACCAAAGTATTTGAGATGTTTGATTTATTTCATTAAGTTTTGGCATCAATAGCTGCAACTTTGGTTTTTAGTGTTTTTTTTCCCTGTTTGTCTGAACTGTAAATATAATTTAGTGTYGATGTTTTTCTAATAAAGTCAGAAGGGACACATTCTACTCCTGGACTCGTCGCCTCTCTTCACACATCGAAGAGATGACGGTAATTTTCCAGTTTAAATCGAGGYGCCGGCTCTTTTCTTTTTGTCTTTTATTCTGAACTCTGGATTTTGACCGCAGGAGCTCGAGCCACGAAAACCCAGMAGGTGTGGAAGAACCACAGCCAGAGGAAAATAAGCATTTCAGAAGCCAGGATTACATAACTGCATCACACATCTGTATCTGCAGGGTTTTTTTTTAATTTTAGTTTGACAGCTTCAGCAAACGGCAGCTGCTTCATTCTCTCATGAAACAAACAGAGCAGGATTGAAGATTCAGTTTATTAAAGGTATTTTTTACAGGTTAAGTCAGAGTATAAACTTTAGAAGAATACAAGAAAACTGGAATAAATGAAAAAAAAAGCAGTTTTTTTGTTTTTATTGTGGTTTCGTGTGAAATTTTTTATCAAACGGAGTCAAAACGAGACAAGATGGAAAATTTACAACCTGATTTTGTTTTTGTGAAGGTGCCTGCACCTATATTCAGCCTTTAATGGAGGAATACCTCTAACTGGTCCATGTTTTCATGTTTTTAACTTCTATTWTAAAGAGAAATTACCTGCTTTTTAAAGTTTGTGTTTCTGTTTAGAAACTGGATCGAGTTTCTTGTGGTTTTTTTTGCCACAAGGAAAGCTGCAAATGACATACCAGCACATCACTTTTGTCAAAAAATTAAAAAAAAAACGTGTTTATCTGAGACTCTCTGGGTCTAAATAAGCTTCGGATCTCCAGGCAGGCGGGGTTCGAACACAGAAAGCAGCTGAAAAAAAAGAGTCTAAATGAGATCAAACGATGTTGAACTGACAGACCGAGGGTCTTTCCTCGCGACAGTTCTCATCCTGCCACCTCCCCTGCGAGGCCCCCGACAGGACGACGCAGTTCTGGGACATGCCGCCGTCCGGCTGCGGGGACCGGTGGCYGGACGTGTCCCAGTTCTCGTACAGGACGCTGAAGCCGGTCTGGTCCATCCACTTGCCCTCCGTCATCATGTCGTTGATGCCCAGCCAGACCTGCTCGTCGGGGCCGACGCTCTGACGGACGTAGTCCCTGAGCTGGTCGTTCTCCGAGCTGGACGTGGGGGCCCCGAGGACCCCGCCCAGGGCGTTGCAGTCCTCGCTGGCGCTGTGGTACCGTTTCTTCACGGGGTCGGCCAGGAAACACTTCTTGTGGATTTTTACGCCTTTTAAACAGACTGAAGTGGGAAAGTGATAAAACAATCAGAACAAAAARACTTGGATGTGCTTAGAAAAGCTATTATTTCAGTAAAAATACCAAAACAGTTTCATTTATTCCATCTGCACAACATAAAAAGTAAGAAATTTTATTTGGTTAGTTGTTTCTTTGCCATAAAAATAAATCTTACACAGTTGGAAAGCGGGTCATCGGCATGATCAGTGCCAGGTTGTGGCTGTGTATGGTTCTTCCACATGCTGCACAAATGCATTTTCCTTACAAATGTGGCAACTTTGAAGGTAAAATAAACAGGTTTTCCACTGGAATAGAAGCTGTTGCCAAGCTGCATTGCCACAATGAATAAATAATCAACCAAACACACATTTCCTCAGTTTTTGTGCTGTTTATTATTATCAAATGATCACACTATGAGAAAAATGAGTTTATTACAATGTGATGCACTTATTTCATAAGACTAACACACAATAGTCACAAGATCAGGAGCTTTTTGACACTTTATTTGCATTTAAACCTTTAAATTTAAATGGAAAGCCTAGCCTTTGTAACCTTCTAAGAATATATAGGGTCTCTGTTGCAAAAAAAAAAAGTTGGATATTTGAAGTATTTTAAGCTTGTTGCTTTGAAAGTTTTTGATTTATTTAAAGATTTCTGTGTATTTTCTGTAGATTTGAAGCAAAGATTAAAATGCTGCTACCACGAAAATCACAACTTGTTCTAGATATTCACCGTGGGATTCAGTAGAAAACACAGGATTAAGTTTTATTTGAYATTGAACTGTTTAAATAAAAGACAAAAGTCACTGAAATGTGTTAAATATGTGTTAAACCTGTTCAAAACAATGTAAAATAAGGCTAGAGGATTTGTCTAACCAATCAGAAACCAGTTGTTGTTTTTRGGTTCACCTGTTTGCAGAGCTTGTTGTTCCTTCAGCAGGTTGAGCTCCTGGATGATGTTATCAATCTGTTTCTGCAGCTCTGCCACCGCAGCATCTTTTGTTGCCTCTGCTTTCAAACACACACATTCAGAATCAACATTCAACCTAAACGTTCAAAGAATCATCGAATAACTTCTCGATTTAAAGAGATTTATGTCTGGGATGGCTTAATAAAATCTTATTCCTCCTTCGGTCCACAACCAGACTTTTCTCCCTCTACCTTTCTTCAGCGGCTTCTTCTTAAACAGAGACTGCTGAGATGAGAGGCCGACGWGCAGCAGGACGAGCAGCAGGACACAAACTCCTCTGAACGCCATGGTGAGCCGTGCTGAGTGAAGCAGCTTCAACGTGGACGCTCACAATTTATCTCCCTCTCACCCGCCCCTCTCATCTGGCTGCACARGGGGAAAGTGCTGAAAAAAAAGAGAAGAAGAAGAAGAAGAAGAACACCCTGACCTCAGGAGCCTGGAGGGAAGTGTCTCATCTGGCTCCAGAACTTTGCATGTGGAGGCCAAGAGCTGAGCAGAGCCAGGTCTGTGAGGCAGCTGTTACATAACCGCTCTGCAGCTCTCATTAAGGAATAAAAAGACTCTACTGTTGCGTAAACTGTGGACGTCTTTAAAACACGTTCCTGCCATAAATGTTTGACTTAGAAAAAAAAACATACAGCGGGTAAAATAAGTATTGAACACGTCACCATTTTTCTCAGTAAATATATTACTAGAGGTGCTAATGACATGAATTTTTCACCAGATGTCAGTAACAACACAAGTGATCCATATATACAAAGAAATCAAACCATACATGTCCATAAATTATTTGTAATAATGTGGAATGGCACAGGGAAAAAGTATTGAACACATGAAGAAAGGGAGGTGTAAAAAGGCATT